CAACATTGCCTTACTTCAAAAAAGAAGGAACAAGAAGATCTCACTATGGGAGCGGTTCATCGCAAGCAATTCTATGACTGCCACCAAATTGTGAAGCCGTGACTGGGAGAGTTTGTTTCAAGGGTCATTTTGTTCCTTGCGATCTGTACTGCCCCTCTTCACAAAGCTTCAGACTTTACCCAACAGTTTTTTCCCCCAAGGGAATGACTTCCACCTTGGGTTCTTTTTAAGGAGAAATTTGGGCTAAAAATATTTCAAAGATTTAAAAAATATATTAACATGTTCTCGTGTTCCATTTCCTTGAGCAGGAATGAGAAACTGCTTTCCCCACTTCTTTCCTGCAAGTGGCTAAGAGAGACCATTTGAGCCATTTTTCTTCAAATGGCACAAAATGCACAACATGCTGATAGTGACTGCTTTCTTGAATAGACTTAAGAATTAGAAGCATTGGATGGGTTGTTGACGTCTGTCATGAGTGCAGCTGAAGACCCGGAACCAGAAGGGTTAACTGAGGCTGAGGAGAATGCTGAGCAATCAGAAACACCTGAATCACCTCCAGATTCTCCGTCCCCAGCAGATAAGCTTTGGGCCAGGCTTCAGGGAAGACTTATGGCAAAAAGGTCAGAGGATCGCTCGAAGGCTGTCCACAGAAACATCCGTTCAACTAGCCCTGAGTACTGACAGGATGGTTTTGTTCCTTGTGATCTGTATTGCCCCCCCCTTCACAAAGCTTCAGACTTTACCCAGCAGTTTTTCCCCCAAGGAAATCACTTCCACCTTGGGTTCTTTTTAAGGAGAAATTCGGGATAAAAATATTTGAAACATTTAAAAATATATTAACATGTTCTCGTGTTCCATTTCCTTGAGCAGGGATGTGAAACTGCTTTTCCCGCTTCTTTCCTGCAAGTGGCTAAGAGACTCTGGACTCAGACTTTGGACTACGTTGTGTGTTTGACCTTGGACTCTGACCTTGGACTACGTTGTGTGTTTGATTCTGGACTCTGACCTTGGACTACGTTCTGTGAGTTGGTTTGGTAATTGGATATCGGCTTTGCATTCCTAGTATTCCTGACTTTGGACTGGCTTATCGGACCTCGGCTGTTGTAACCCCCAGGAACGTGACAACGTCGTTTTTGGATAATCACCTAATCCTTCTACACTTGTGGTGTGTCTGTGCTTAGCTATGTAAAGGGAAGATATCCTAATTCGGATGAAATCCTGTTGGCATAGCTATGCCTGAGGAAGGGTGATGATAGTACCAGTAGTATGAGAGTTTTGGTAATGAATGACTTTTTCCTTCTCTACTGAAGCTTTCCTGCCTTGCAAATAACTGTTTTCATTGAATGGAATATGTGGAAGCCTTGGGATGGGAGGAGGAAGTCTTTCATTACCAAAAAATCTCCCCCTGCTGGTGACATAATCCAATGACAGCAGTTTTTGTTAATGAAAGACTTCTTTCTCCAGTCCCACAGCTCCAATGGCTTGCACTTCATGAAAGAGATCTGCAAGTCAGAAAAACTTCAGGAAGGAGATCTTTCATTTTTCAAAAATCTCTCCCACTGTTGATTTCATCATCTTTCCTTAGATATAGCTATGGGAGTAGGATTTCAGCCACTGCTGTATCTTGTGCTGGCCATATGTGTGGGGGACCTCTTGTCTTGCTCTCATCCAAGAGGAAAGGAATCTTGTGGGCTTTGAAAATCCTTTGCTAGGACATTGTGTTGTTTTGAGACCTCCTGAACTGATGAAACAAAAAAGAATTGGTTAGTGTTCTTCATATACACCACTCCTGTGTACACCCTGCTCTTCAACCTGGGCCATGTCAAAGCCGGAAGAGCTGAGGCAGGCGTAACTGGCTGCTCTTCCTACAACTCCTCTATCAAAAAGTTGCAATGATCAACCATCGCTACTCTCTTCTGCGTGAAAGATAATGCAAAATGGTAATCACACTGCGTATCACATCTTGAAAAGCATTTAGTGTCCCAAACCACATGTTCCAACCATAATTGCTTTGGGCTTCTGTTCAGCAGCCAGTTGTAGCTTTGAATCTCCTGGTGACGGCTGAGTGTGTTGTTTTCAGGAAAGGCTGGTTGGAGTGAAATTGCCCAAGTAATGAAACCAAGCGGCTCTTCCTGTTGCCTCACAGCGAGGGAGGTGAAGTTTTTCAGGTCAACTTCTTCTTAAATTAAAAATGAGTCAGCAAGGGCCACACCTTGCTTACCGGGGTCTACTTTATGTAGCGGGCTCATCAGCCACCACATTTCTGCCGTGGACAAACCACCTGACTGGCCGATGGATGGCTTTCCACTTTGTCTTTCTTTCTTATTTGTCTTCGTGGTTAAGGCCCACAGAGTCTATGCAGGGGGAAATCCTGCAGCGGGTTAGGAAGGTTATCTACAAGGAGGTGTGATATGCAAAGCTGTGAAGAAAATATTGTCAGAACACAGCTATTGTGACATTACTGGCTGAGTCTTGCTAATAACACATCCAGATCCTCTCTAGCTGTTATAGTATTAGCATGTTTCCTCTTTTCCTAGAGGCTGAGAAATTTCAAGGATACTGTTAATGGGCTTTGGCGTTTTGCTTAGTTTGTTCGCGAGAGACAATTTGCTGTCCATCAGCTTATCAACAGAAATGCAAGATGAAATGGTTAAGGAATGTCGCTGTCCATCAGCTTATAAACAGACGTATTTCCCAGGAAACAGTTTATGGTGTTTTGTTCTGGCATGCTTCTGGTGCCATTTTTAAAAAGCCTCATATTTTGAATTCAGGTGAACCAAAAGAGTTTGTGCCCATCTCTAATCAATACCATTTTGTTTTCTGGAAACGTTGGGGGTTTCAGGGTTTGGGGGTGTGTGGATCTTCAATTGCTGAAAATCATCACCACCAAAACAATGCTACTGTTCCTCATCTGTAAAACAGGGACACACTGGCCAGCTCTTTTTCTAGTTATATGGGCAAGATTTAGAGATGGGCGTTAGAAAATCATGTCTTTTGCTGAGCTTCTTTTTGTGTTGGGAGGGGCTAGGGGAGAGAAGTCAGGGTTCCAATTAAAAGACAAAATAAATCCTGTTCTTCTGAAGTCTGCCAATCCCCAACCCACAGGACCTATTAACAGCTACGTTCTGCCATTTTCTGTCCCTTTCGCATTTAGCCTGAGGGAAGCTGTAGGCTTTTATGCTGGCTGTTCTTTTCCCCCTAAACGAAATGTCCAAATCAATAATTAGGGAAAGATGTGTCCATCCTCTCAAATCAAGACGTAATTCCTAGATATCTTGGTGTCCGGGACTGGAATCTTGACATATAATAACTCTTTCAGTCCACTCTGAAAACATTTCAACAAGGTATTTTTAATCACAAAAATAGAGACAAAAATGGAATGAGGATTTGGCATGTAAATATGGATTGTTGTTGTTTAGTCATTAAGTCGTGTCCGACTCTTCGTGACCCCATGGACCAGAGCACGCCAGGCCCTCCTGTCTTCCACTGCCTCCCAGAGTTGGGTCAAATTCATGTTGGTTGCTTCGGTGACCCTGTGCAGCCACCCTGTCCTCTGTCGTCTTCTCCTCCTTTTGCCCTCACACTTTCCCAACATCAGGGTCATTTCCAGGGAGTCTTCTCTTCTCATCAGATGGCCAAAGTATTGGAGCCTCAGCTTCAGGATCTGTCCTTCCAGGGAGCACTCAGAGTTGATTTCCTTCAGAACAGAAAGGTTTGTTCTCTTTGCAGTCCAGGGGACTCTCAAGAATCTCACCACAATTCAAAAGTATCAATTATTTGGCAGTCAGCTTTCTTTATGCATAATTCTGGTTGCTTGTCTCCAAAAATGCACCTGGCTTTGTTAGTTGTTCTACATCAGTGCCTCCCAATCTTGAGTTCCCATATGTTCATCATCATCATAATCATCATGGAAAAAAATTCAGAGTTACAAGATGGGGGATACTTGGCTCAGGTATACTATGAGTAAAAACAATATTGGAGCCATTGTGAATCAAAGGCTGAATATGAGCCGACAGTGTGATGTGGCTGAAAAAAAACATGCAAATGCTATTTTAGGATGCATTAACAGAAGAAGATTCTCCAAATCCCATGAGGTACTCATTCCCCTCTATTCAGCACTGGTTACCCTCGTCTCGAGTATTGTGTCCCGTTCTGGTCGCCACACCTTGAGAAGAATGCAGACAAACTGGAGCAGGTTCAGAGGAGGGCAACAAAGATGATCAGGGGACAGGAAAGCGAGCCCTCTGAGGAAAGAGTGAAGGAACTGAACAAGTTTAGCCCTGAGAAAAGATGACTGAGGGGAGACGCCGTGGCAGTTTTAAAATCCTTGAAAGGCTGTCCTACAGAGGAGGGGCAGGATGTGTTTTTGATCAGGCCAGAGTGCAGGACACGTAAGAATGGGCTCGGCCAGAGTGCAGGACATGGAAGAATGGGCTCAAGTTACAGGAAGCCAGATTTCGGTTGAATATCAGGAACAACTTCCAAATTGTTAGAGCAGTACGAGAAGGGATCCGATTGAATATCAGCAACAACTTCCTAATTGTTAGAGCAGTACGAGAAGGGATCCGATGATCTTGGGAAGTATTGAGCGCTCCAACACTGGAGGCCTTCAAGTTTTCAAGAGAAAATTGGACAACCGTCAGTCAGATCTGCTTTGATTGGGATTCCTGCTTTGAGCAGCGAATCAGGCTCCATGGCCTCGTAAGCCTCTTCCAACTCAATTATCATCATCATGTTCTTGGACTACAAACTCCCAAAAATCCTGGCCCTCATAGCTAGTGGTTAAGGCTTGGCTGTGTGTGTGGGGGGGATGTCAATCCAAGAATACCTGGGGACCCAAAATTGTCAACCATTGCTGTAGGCAAATATCAGAAGCCCACAGGAGGAGAGAGGATTTTGGAATATAATTCCGAAATGGGGCCGTTCTCCCCTCCATCCTCTGTAGTCCTTAAATGAAGAAAAAGGGTTCAAATGCATCCAAAATAGAAGAGCAGTTGGCGATGTCTTTGATCGTGGCATATTTGAAGGCAAGAGATTTTTTCCCACTGTTTGGTGGTGAGGAGCGATCATTCTATGACTGGGGAGAAACAGCATGTTTAAATGTGCTGTTTCATCTTCTTAGGAGGTTCTTTTGCCCAGGCAGCTGTGCCAGGAATATGCACAAGTGTGATCTAAGAAGACATTGTGGGGCCTGTCTCATCTGCCTCACATCAGGCTTTACATCTCAGCCTACAAGAAGCGTTGTCCTTCTGCTTGATGTACACTGACAGCTTCGTCCTGCTTGGGTGTTGTAAAAGAGACGAACGGGTGTGTGGTAGCTGAGAGCGCAAACAGTTTTGTAGCATCGCCGTGCGCCACTTGTCACTCTCCAAGCAGAGGTAGTAAAACAACAGCTGTGACTGTAAAGCTGGATGACTCTCCGATCAGCTCCAGTTCCATCTACTTGAGGGGTTAGGAATCAACTTGAAGTACATGTGGACCCCCAGGCTTTTTGGAAGCCCCCCATAGTCTCCCTGCCTCCTCTGGAGAAACGTAGCTGCTGAATTTGAGTGGAAAGATGTGCCACCAAATTTCAGAAGAAACCAGGAGAGGGGATAAAAAATATTCATAATGTTTTGATTGTCTTGACTACACTGTAATGTTTGAGGCTTTACAGAATGACCCTTTGGGTCAAGGTTTCTACCATCCTTTCAAGCCATTTAATGAGAAAAAAAGTCTTAACATACAGCTTTTCCATAAAAATATATCAAAGCAGGCAGGTAACAGAAATGCTCTGTGGATATGCAGAAACCGGTCTCAAAGTAATATTACTGTAAAGGTAAAGGTAAAAGTTCCCCTTGAACTAGTTTCAAATTAATATTACTGTAAAGTTAAAGGTAAACGTTCCCCTTGACCTTTAGTCCAGTCGTATCTGACTTTAGGGTGCGATGCTCATCCCCGTCTCCAAGCCGTAGAGCTAGCATTGGTCCGAAGACCGTTTCCGTAGTCACATGGCCAGTGCGACTAGACACGGAACGCCGTGACCTTCCCACCGAGGTGGTACTTATTTATCGACTCACTTTTTAAAATGCTTTTGAATGGCTAGGTAGGCAGGAGCTGGAACAAGCGACTGGCGCTCACTCTGTCTCGTGGATTCAATCTTATGACTGATGGTCTTCTGACCTTGCAGGGCAGAGGCTTCTGTGGTTTAACCTGCAGTGCCACCACATCCCTTATAATATTTCTATGCTTCCACTTAAAAACAAATAGTTGTCCAAAGAGGCTCCCATTAAAAAAAAAAGCTTTGAATTCTCTCTTCTTTCTTGTTTTTCTCTTTCTGTTACCTATCCTCCTTTCTTCCACCTTTCTGATTCAAGCTCGTGGGTGTTTCAACATCCTGCAAAGTACTGGTGCAACGATCTGCTAACAAAATAATCAATTTTATATATTCGTATCTTACGTTAATAGGCAAACCTAAACCTTTTGAATAGCAGTATCTAAAGCATATAAAACTGGAAGGGGAGAATCTATGACAAGTATGACAAGTAGTGATCTTAAAAATTGTAATTGTTTAGTACACATCATTTATCACGAAAAGACAAGATTCTCTGGAAAACACAATAATGTTGGGAAGGGGGGAAGGCTACAGGAAAAGAGGAAAACTAAATATAAGATGGATTGACTCCGGAAGGAAGACACAGGCTTGAGTTCACGAGGAAAAGACATCTTGAAAATTGCTCATTCATAGGAAGTAACTTGACAACACGTAACAAGAAACATTTAAGTTTATATAATCAGCAAAGCAAGAGTTCTATAAATACACAACTACACATATGTAGCTCAGCGCTCAAGTTAATCATGACTAATGTTTCCTATTTATGGTTCTCCTTCTAGAAATGGGCATGAACCACTGATTAGTGGTTTGTGTCGGTTCATTTTTAGGCTGAACAGGTGTTTGGTGCTTTCCAGGGCAGCAGTAAACACTTGTTCGGCCAAAAAACCAACCAGCGTGAACCTCCCATCTCTAATCATGACTTAAGTGTTCTGGAACTAATCCCATATCTTTGAGCAAAGAGACATTGAACCAATGACTCTAATCAGTATTCCAGTTTTAAGGTACAAAGTCTGAACTGTTGAAGATGAATTAAATGTTTCACCATTTGCAATTTGTAAACTGTTAGGAATTGTTGACTGTTTTTCAAGCATGTATTTATTTTGGAATAACTTTTTATCTGCTTTTTCAAATGTCTAGAACATCAAATGCTGAATAACAGATGGTATATCGTTGCTACTGTTGTAGTCAGAGGGAATTTTGGATCTCAGTAGATCTGTTCTTGTTGGAACTACAGAATAAAGTGAGGTCAAAATGGCTAACGCCCATTAGAATTTTGCCTCATGTGCTACTATTCCTTATGTTATTGAGAAAAATGAGGTATAAAAAAATTTAGTGAACTAAACCCCCCAATCCAGCCATGCTTCTGAGAATATTATGGAGTTGAGCTGAGTTTATGGTTCTAAAGCTGGCTTCTTTTCTGTGTTTCAGCAGAGTCCTAGAACACCTTTTTCAGATCTGGCGGATGATGAGAAGATCTTCAATGGCGGGGACGCCACATGGTCTGAACAGAATCAGGAACACGCTCTCCTCTCCGAAATCACTGAGGAGGACCTGGAAGCCATCCGTGAGCGAGAAGAAACCATCCAGAAGATTGAGGTCAGTAGCCAACTTAGTGTGAAAGCTGCAAACCTCAATGCAGGATCTTGGATGTATATTTGCGGTCTCTTTGGGTGAATCCCAAAGACAGAATCAAAACAGAAGCTTAAATGGGGTAGCAATTTGTATTTGTCCATCTTGGTTAAAGCTGCCTGTTTTGACAGGTTGTGGGTCTTTCATGAGGGGGAGAGCACCCATCCTCCCGCAGTAGCACACATGTTTTCCATTCACCTTCCATCCTTCTTCAATCTTTGGATTTTTTTAGCAACAAAATCTGAGGTTGAATTTTTCAGAAATGAAGAAAGATTGTCAATCCATAGTGGAATATATCAACATTTCTTCTGAGTCTGGCAGGGAAGAAGGCAGTTTTGTAAGACAATGTTTGATCCATTCCACCTTCATGACTTCTGATAACAAACAGCCCAATGCACACCTCCTAGACTAACATGTAGAAGTCAGCATGATGATAGAGCCGGTTTTGCAATTTCCTCAATTTTGTGGCCAGCCTTGGAGTCACAAGTGTTCCATAATACATGAAGTATATCAGCATACATTTATAAGTCTATTTTTAGAGGAAGTTTCATTTATAAATGCATGCATTTAGGTATAATACGGTTAGAGATGTTTCAAATGGAGAAGTTGTTACAATCTAGTGCAGAAAAAGAGTCAAAATATAGCTTGGAAATAACTAGTTAGAAATCATTTAGTTATCAGTAGTCAATTACTTTTTGTCTTTCATATAATGTAGCTTCTTCTTCTTCTTTTTCTTCTTCTTCTTCCTACTACTGCTACTACTACTACTATGTCTAGATGTGCGGCATAAAAATTCAATAAATAAATAAAATATTTAATTTATTGTATTCTCTGAGGGTTTCATGGCCGGGATCTGATGGTTGTTGTGGGTTTTCCAGGCTATTTGGCCGTGTTCTTGAGGTTTTTCTTCCTAACGTTTCGCCAGTCTCTGTGGCCGGCATCTTCAGAGGACAGGAGTCAAAACTCTGTCTGTGCTCTGGATTTATTTAATTTATTTATTATTTAAAACATTTATACCCCACATTTCTCCTAATATTCCAAGTTCAAGTTGATTGTATTAGCTCAAAGCCGTCACAATTGTTTAAAATACAAACATGATCAAATAATATGAGTAATATACAAGGTTTGTAATCTTACTCTGACTCCAAAAAACACGGAAAGTATTTGTTTAATTTTTTTACCTTATACGGGCGTACCTCAGTTTACGAATTCAATGCATTCTCCGGGACGTTCTGTAATGCGAACAATTTGTAAACCGAAACACGGTTTGCCATAGGAACTGGGACAGCGCTATAAACCTCCAGGTACAATGTGTCCTGGGGAAACTTGCTTTGTACTGTGGAAAAAAAAACCCTGAGGAATCAGTAATGTCATGGAAAAGATGATGTGGCCCTCTGGGTAACCATAAATAACTGAGTGGGGACTGCGAAAGAAAAATCATAAACCGAGGCATTATTTTCAATGGATTTCAATCTGTAAACCGAAAATTATGTTAACCGAGGCATTCGTAAAGCAAGGTACTACTGTAAATATTTCTAAAGTGCATTATCAAAATTGGGCAGTAGAGGGAGCCAAAGGATATTTTTTTCTGTATTCTTCCATCTGGGTGGACAATGCAACTCACTAACAATCTTCAAGTCAGCAAATTACTTGCACAGGCAGGGCAGGAGGAATGTCAGTTGTAACCTGGATACTAAGATGTAATGAATAACAAAAATCTCTCTAAAAAAAAAAAAAGACCAAAATGTTTTCATTTCTGTTCAAGACAAACGGATTTATGAATAGCATGGGCTTTAGTGCAGACACACTCTCCTTTCATGGATGTATAGAGTTCCCAATACATGTACAGTCCGTACAGTTGGGAATATGACATAGATGGAATGGAGTGAGAGTAGAACTAGACGGTTCCACCGTAGCTTTTTCTATTCAAAAGGTGGATCTCGTCATGCACTCTGTTGCTGATTAACAGTCAGTCCCAGTTTGCCTGCTTGCAAATGGCAACATGGGCTGGAAAAGTGCCTGACAACTTATCTGCTAAATATCTCTTTGTTGTTGTTATTTAGTCATTAAGTCGTGTCTGACTCTTCGTGACCCCATGGACCAGAGCACGCCAGGCCCTCCTGTCTTCCACTGCCTCCTGGAGTTGTGTCAAATTCATGTTGGCGTGCTTCGATGACACTGTCCAACCATCTCGTCCTCTGTCGTCCCCTTCTCCTCTTGCCTTCACATTTTCCTAGCATCAGGGTCTTTTCCAGGAAGTCTTTTCTTCTCATGAGATGGCCAGAGGATTGGAGCCTCAGCTTCAGGATCTGTCCTTCCAGTGAGCACTCTGGGTTGATTTCTTTCAAAATGGAAAGGTTCGTTCTCCTTGCAGTCCAGGGGATTCTCAAGAGTCTCCTCCAGCACCACAATCCAAAAGCATCAGTTCTTCAGCAGTCAGCCTTCTTTATGGTCAAAGCTCTCACTTCCATACATCTCTGCAGGAAAAACCATAGCTTTGACGATGCAGACCTTTGTTGGCAAGGTGATGTCTCTGCTTTTTAAGATGCTGTCGAGGTTTGTCATTGCTTTCCTCCCAAGAAGCAGGCGTCTTTTAATTTCGTGGCTGCTGTCACCATCTGCAGTGATCATCTAGCCCAAGAAAGTAAAATTTGTCACTGCCTCCATGTCTTCCCCTTCTATGTCCCAGGAGGTGATGGGACCAGTGGCCATGATCTTAGTTTTTTTGATGTTGAGCTTCATACCGTTTTTTGCGCTCTCCTCTTTCACCCTCATTAAGACGTCCTTTAATTCCTCCTCACTTTCTGCCATCAGAGTGGTATCGTCTCCATATCTGTTGGCCCCCACTTTTTCTCTGGACCAGCTGGCTTAGTAGCTTAGGTTGGGTGTTTGATTCCCCACGGTGCCTCCTGCAAGCCGAGCCAGCCTGTGTTGCGGTGAGCAAGCTGCACATCCCCAAGGCGCCCCCAGAAGGAGAACGTGGGAAACCACGTCTGAGTACTCAACAACCTAGACAAGCCTGAAAAGGGTTGCCATAAGTCAGAATTGACTTGACGGCACCTTATTATGATGATACTGAATTCTCCCTCATTCCTGGAATATGGTATAACTATTTTGTCTTCAGGGACGTGGTGGTGCTGTGGGCTAAACCGCAGAAGCGTGTGCTGCGGGGTCAGAAGACCAAGCAGTCGTAAGATCGAATCCACGCGACGGAGTGAGCGCCCGTCGCTTGTCCCAGCTCCCGCCAACCTAGCGGTTCGAAAGCATGCAAATGCGAGTAGATCAATAGGGACCACCTCGGTGGGAAGGTAACAGCGTTCCGTGTCTAAGTCGCACTGGCCATGTGACTACGGAAGATTGTCTTCGGACAAACGCTGGCTCTATGGCTTGGAAATGGGGATGATCACCGCCCCCTAGAGTCGAACACGACTGGACAAAAATTGTCAAGGGGGACCTTTACTTTTACCTTTTTTATTTCTTCTTCATTTTCTCCTGCCCCGGCGTTGAGTGCCTCCAGCAAAGGCAGGAGACCGTTGGACAGTCTGTGCAGATCCCTTTCCACGTGGAGTTTAAAATAAGCTTGAGCTCTGCCGTCTGGGTGGTGCAATAAATCACAAGACTGGATTAAGAAATGTAGTCTTGGGTCCCTCTAATTGGATTACGCTAATTGTTTTGAGGTGGATGTGGGAGTATTATTCGTGCAGCAAGAAATGTGATACTATCGGCACTGCAAGAAAACATAAATGTGGAAAGAGCAGGCTGTTGTCAGCCCGCTTTCAGCAGGGAAGAAGCCCAGAGTGGAAGGAGAAATGAGAACTAAGCCTGATTTGAAGGGGGGGGAATCCACCTGAGCCCCCCACCCCAGGAATTAACACAGGACAATAGTAATCAGGCTGTTCTTGTCTGCATTGAGAAACACAATGTGATTGTTTGCAACCTAGCAAGGAATTTCCAACTGTTGCAGAGCAAAACCGCCTGTTATCCTTGCCACTTTTTTGGGGGGGGGGTGTCATTAAGCTTTAGCTGTAACTAATTACTTTAAAAGTTCCCCATACTGTGAATTAACTCAACAACATGAGATGTTGTCTAAACCACGCTGAATCTCCCCTCGTTCCTCCAACTCCTTAAACTGTGTCATCCATCAGAACACTTTCTTCAGTGCTTTCAAAAGACATGTTTATCAAAGTTTTACTCATTTGAAAGAAAACTGAATGGGTTCGTGACTCTGAAAGCCAAACACTTGTGTGTTTTTTTCCCAAGTAACTGGCAGTCCCAGCAAAGATTTGTCTTGTACTATAGATACACTGATGTGTATAATTCTGGGTGACGGAGGGGGGGGAGATGCCAGCACATGGTTAATGTTATGTTGCAGTTGGCAGGGAGACCATGGAAGCTAATAGTCCTGCGCATTGCAGAAAAGTACATGTCATCTAAATGTTTACGAGGCCAAATCCAAATACAGTGGTGCCTCGCGTTACGATGTTAATTCGTTCCAGCGAAATTACTGTAGAACGAAAACATCGTAATGCGAAATTAAAAAGCCCATAGAAACGCATTAAAACCCGATTAATGCGTTCCTAGGGGCTTGAAACTCACCCCTCAGCGAAGATCCTCCATAGCACAGCCATTTTCGCTGCCTGTGCAGTGAGGAATCCGTCCCAGAAAAGAGCAGGGAGCCATGTTTTTTACCCGGTGGCCATTTTGAAACCGCCGATCAGCTGGCCGAAAATCATCGCTTTGCAAGAATCGGTTCCTGAAGCAGGGAACCGATCATCGCAAAGCGAAATTCCCCCATAGGAAACATTTTGCGATCGCTTTTCCGGTCGCAAAACCTTCAACGTGAAGCAATTTTGTCATAAAGCGGAGCACTCGTAATGCGAGGCACCACTGTATTGTAAATTACTGGGGCTCATCCTTCAATCTATTTGCTTGGTGCCTTCTGAAAAAGAAAGAAAAGAAAACATTAA